TTAATACCTGATTAATACCAAGTAATGGTATTATTTGCCTTGGTAAATGGTTCACTTGATTCATGTGCCACTTTTGTAGGATTTATAATGCTGGTTTGGAAATATCTTGCCTACAACAAGCCAAGCCTTAATAAATTAAAAAAGGAAACTAAAACAACATCTACAAATTTATTATAAAATTGATACTATCAATCATTTTTCGTCTATAACCAGGACTTGGAACCTTGTTACAGGAAGATCTGCATATGTCACAAATCTAAAAGAAGGTAAGTAAGCAATAATTCAGTAGTGTAGCCAAGCCTAGCCATGATGAGCCATGACAAATTAATTTTTACCAAGAATGCAGACAACAAGTCAACATTTGATAAGTCAACAGTGGAATTATTGGTAGTCGAGCTAATTTTTTTTGCCACTTGGGACATATGTTTTGACATGTCTACAGTGCTTATCTATAGCATGTGTGGAATTTTCATCTAAATAAATAAGGTTTCCATGGATATCAAAGAAGCTGTAAGAAAACATATTTTGTTGCAATAGCAAAATTATTGTAGCATTTTATATGTGTGTGACTGGCAGGCATAGTAACTATAATTAGTTCGTAATAAATACTGCTGGAATATTGAAATTTTACATCACCTTTAGATAAGAATGTAAATTTATGGTTCATCTTTTAAGGTTATGTACTTTATATATTTTGGATGCTACAATTTCTTTTATTCTTTTGTTTACTTTAGTTGCAACTTTAATAAAATGGTCACCATTGGGAGATTGCTATGCTGTTGTCATTGGCAACAAGATAGTTATTCATAAACTTGCCGTAAGTATACTTTATGGTTAGGTCCTTTCACAATCAGCACAGACTTTCCSTCTATTTTGGTCAATGTTGAACAAGGGCTCCATACAACTATTGGAACAATAATACATTGATACATGTAACAATGTGCAAAAGTGATTATATGGACCTCTTTAACTTTAGGTGTAATGTTTTCCCATTTCAGACCATGTGTTATTCCTTTTGAAATATGAAAATGATTCTTTGTTTGATTTTCATCTATAATCATGCGACTTTTGTCTCACATGTAACAGTTAAACTCTAGCAATGACAAGCCAGAAAGGTGCATTGTGAATGCCTTTTTTATTTCCAATAAAAGTCATTTTACTGGAATCCAAATATCTTCCCAATTATGTTAGTGCGGATTCATCCATATTTAGTGATTTATATACTACTGATGCTATTTTTACCATCTTTCTAGACTGCTTCACTGTCATGTACTCTTCAACTACCACRACCTGTTCTAGCAGTACAATTCTTATCTGTAAGTGTTTTTAAAACCAGATTATTCAGATTATATTAGTCTCTATGTTCTTCAATCTTGGCCCCCACTTTTCCCATACTAGTCTCATATATTTTCCAATCTTAAACCCCCCCCCCCTCCCCACACACACACACACCCTTTTTAAGGTGCTTTGCAGCCCCTGTTATTGTGAACTGATATTTCGTTGAATCGAATGGTTCTTGATACAATTCTTTATGATATCATTTTTTCGCTAGGAAACTCTTTTGGTGGCAGGAGGAGAATTTGATGGTATTCGAATTTTTAATATTGAAAAAGAAGATTGTATCCAAACTCTTACAGGTCATGAAAGCAGGTAAACATGCATACATACCCCAATATATGGTTACGTTTGGCAAGTGAAGATGGTTGGTTAATTATGGTGTTGGTAGTTTGAGGATGCTTGTGGTTGAGTGATTAT